GATAATGAATTCAGCAGAATAGCATCCACACACTAAGACTCAATTTTTCTAGTTTCCTAATCTTTTCCAGGATAATGATGCTTCTTTTGAAACTTGTTTATAATTTATTTAGCAGGGTACTGGCCTAAGCATATATATTTATGTGTGTATATGTATACACACACAAGCATATGTGTGTGGGCTCTCTCTCTATATACATATATGGATATATTTTATGTACAGTGGACCCTTGAACAATGTGGGGACTAGGGTTACTGACTCCCACGCAGTAAAAAATCCACATATAACTTTTGACTCTCTTAAAACCTAATGATTAATACCTTACTGTTGACCTTACTGATAATATAAGTTGATTAACACATATTCTGTATGTTATATATATTACACACTGTATTCTTACAATAAAGTAAGCTAGAGAAAAGAAAACGTTATTGAGAAAATCATAAGAGAAAATACATTTATAGTACTATACTGCATTTATCAAAAAACCTCTCCGTGTCAGTGGACCTATGCAGTCCAAACCCGTGATCCAAGAGTCAAGTGTATATACAGAATTTATCCACATATGCATATTAAAATATAAATGCTTTTATATATATGGATAACTATGTTTACATGAAACACCTTTAAAAAGTCTCACAATCCTCTCTGCAAGGCTTCTCTCTCAGGATCCTGAAACAGAGGCGTGGATAAGTTAAGAAGCACATTAAAGAGTACACAGCCGGTAAACAGTAGAGCTGATTGTGAACTTCAGGCTTTAGGACCTTCAAAAATTCTAGGACTTTTGGGACTCCAGAGCCTGAGTTCTCAGCCATGATGCTAATGTCACACCAAATGCTAGGAACCGGAAGTTGTGACTTTAGTTTTTAACCAGACTGCAAGACCACTTGTCTTACTATCTACTTTTCTTCACATATAACTTACTTTGTAATTTAAGTGTTTTCAGTATCTAGGAGATCATCAGACTGATAGAACTGTATTTTCTAGTATTCATGACTGCAAATACCTAACTATGAAAATGAAACAAGTCCACGCAATGCTTAGAAGCACCTCGCTTACCACCCTGGTGGTACTCACATCACGCTTTGGGAACCCCACATTATTCTGTCCTGAACTATGTTTGTCAGCCTTCTTAGTGGATAAGCGGCAATATAGCAGTAGTACAAAACAATGTAAGATTTCATAAGACCTGCCTGGTGGTTGGTGTTTTTCTGCAGGTGTTTTGAAAGATGGCCGCTTCATACCCCAGAGGTGGCTTCACTTCAGTGATGAGAGGCAAAAGGTTCCCAGTTTGTACAGTCAGCTTAGTGCTTATGGCAGTTTGGTTGAAAAGAACTATATAGATATCAGTGATCATTGTCCTCATGATGACAATGATTATTTTACATATGGCTGTTTTAAGGGTGAATGGCACAGTCTCATTTGTATGCCAGCATCTGGCAGGCTGTCACACATCTGCAGAATATAACCTAAATTGTGCTATTAATATTTCCCCTTTGCATTCTCCCTGAGGCATCTGTCTCCCAAAATGCCTAAAGAAACCCCCCTCCCTCTTGAAGGCCTAGAGGCAAATCCAGAAAACATGTCATCTAGACTGGGGACAGCAGGTGCCCAGAGTGACAGCAGCTGAGTCTGAGCAGACTTCTGGCTCTCAGAAAAGATGTGAAGGGAGAAAGGGAACCACCACCCACATTCATTCTATTAGCAGCCACACCTCCATGCACAATCTATGGGCAGGTTCTCGGAGGCTCAGACAGTATGTAGAGTCTGCTCTGTGAATGACAACAGATGCCAGTCATGGTCCTGAGGGTCAGGTCTTAGTGCCTCCATCACTGCCACTACTTGCTTAAAGCTGCCTTCCTTAAAAAGCCCTGGCAAACCAAGAAACAGACTTTTAACTACCAAGAACAAAGTGATGGGGAGGGAGGTGAGGGAGGATGGGGAGGGAGGTGGGGGAGGGGCTAAGTGGGTGCTGGGGATTAAGGAGGGCACTTATTGTGAAAAGCACCGGCTGATGTATGGAAGTGTTGAATCACTGGGGCACCTGGGTGGCTCAGGTGGTTAAGCGTCCAACTTCAGCTCAGGTCATGATCTTGCAGTTTGTGGGTTTGAGCCCCACGTCGGACTCTGTGCTGACACTAGCTCAGAGCCTGGAGCCTGTCTCTGGATTCTGTGTCTCCCTCTCTGACCCTCCTCTGCTCATGCTTTCTCTCTCTCTCAAAAGTAAATAAAACATTTAAAAAAAATTATAAAAAAAAGGAAGTGTTGAATCACTGTATTATACACCTGAAATTCATTACACTGTATGTTGGAATTTAAATAAAAACTTAAAAAAAAGTGCAAGTATCATGCACTCTTCTTTGGTGGAGGCTAGCTAGCTGTGTACCAAAACCGGGGTAATTTTTCTCTTACACACCGAGCTATATTACATTTCCCAGCCTGCTTTTCAGTTAGAGGTAGCCATGTGACTGACTTCTAACCAATGGAATCCATGCTATTTTAGGGCCTGGCTCAAAAGAGCCTCCCATGTGTGGTTCTCTACGATCTTCTCCTTTTGGTGTCCTGATTGCAGGTGACACTGGGGAGCTGGAAGGTGGAAGGACCTAATTCTCTGACTCACTGACTGGAGGAGGCTGTTTGCTGGTGGCAATCATCATAACGGCTCCATTATAACAGAAGTCATCTTTTAAGTGTTTGAGCCACTATGAGGTCTATTTATATCAAAACATTCAGAGCTTTACTATAACCACCGTACTTATAAAGTGAGACTTCCTGGTTAAATTTCACAACCGACTATGTACTGGATTGTTGCACTTTGGTGACCTATTGCATTTCAAACTTGACGTGTCCAACCAAAATGGTATTTTCTGGGTCTCAGAATGTTCCAAGTACTGGGATACGGGAATGGATCATACAAAGTCCCTTCTCTCATAGAATTTATACTCGAATATGGGGAACCCCCAAGTACACAAATAAAAAAGCAATTTCAAATAGTGATAAGTGCTGTGAAGAGGGAGAGAGGGCTGTTGGGGATGACTTGCGAATTACTGGGGAAAGGGTCTCTGAGGAGGTAACATGAGACTGAAGTCTGAATGATGGCATGCAGTTAGCCATGTGAACTCCAGGGACAGAGTATTCCAGAAAGAGGGAACAGCAAATACAAAGAAGAGACATAAGAACAAAGTTTATCCAGGAACAGAAAAGAGGTTAGTTGGTGAAACAGAGTGATTTCAATGAGAGTGACATGATAGGATATCAAAGAGGGAGGCAGAGGGACACCTGGGTGGCTCAGTCGGTTAAGTGTCTGACCTCGGCTCAGGTCATGATATCACAGTTTGTGGGTTTGAGCCCCACATCAAGCTCTGTGCTGACAGTTCAGAGCCTGGAGCCTGCTTCCCTTTCTGGCTTTCTCTTTCTCTCTCTGCCTCTCACCTGTTAGCGCTCTTTAATGGTCTCTTAAAACAATAAAAACATTAAAAAATTTTTTTTAAAAAGAGTGAGGCAGGGCCCATATTATTGAGAATCTTACAGTTCAAGATAAAGAACTTGGATTTTATTCCAAATTCATTGAGAAGCTATTAGACTGTTTTAAGCGTGTGTGTGTGTGTGTGTGTGTGTTTGGCGGAGAATGATATATAAATTAAATACTGAAAGATCCACTTTATTATGAGAACATGAACTATGTAGGGGATCAAGAAAAAATGGAGACTGAGTAGGAGATTACTGCAGTCACACAGATGAAGAAATAATGGCTTATGGTAGCACAGATGGGTAGGAGTAAAATGGAGAGAGATGAGTTGATTTAAGATATATTTCAGAGGAAGCGCTGATAGGCCTCATGGACAGATTGGGCTGGGGGTATGGAGGCTGGTGAGGGAGAGAAAAGAACCTATACTGAGTTCTGGTCAGCTACTTGGGTAGAGAAAACATGAACAGAATGGGAATTCAAGAGAAGAGTCAGGTTTGTGGTAGCACAGACCACAGGACAGGGGGTGAATAAACGACCGATCTGTATTATTAAAAACTGGGTCATTATAATGGAGTAAGAATGCTGGCTCAGACACTCATTCAACAATTTTCTTGATGTCTGTGGATTTTAGGTAACAGAGGAGATAGTCATACTTACATTAGGGTTTCTTATATCAAATATGCCTTTGGTGTACGCAGACTAGAAGGAAGGGTTGGGGACTTGAGGATTGCTAATAGTTTAGTATCTCTTGATCCAAATGCTGGTTACACAGGTGCTCTGAGAAAATTCATCAAGCCCTAATGTTATGATATGTGTACTTCTCAAAACGAGATTCTATGTGGGGTATTTGGGTGGCTCAGTTAGCTGAGCATCTGACTCTTGATTTTGGCTCAGGTCATGATCTCACAGTTCATAGATTTGAGCCCTGCGTTGAGCTCTTCACTGACAGTGTAGAGCCTGCTTGGGATTCTCTCTCTCTCCCTGCCCCTTCCCTGATTGCATGTATTCTTTCTCTCAAAATAAATACATAATACTTTAAAAAATGAGATTCTATGCATATAGTTCCTATTGCAGTGCCTGGAATTCAATACATGGCAGCCAGTATTATTTTCACCATCATGATACGATGAAAACCATCTCATGTGTACCTGTGGTCCATGCTGTCCATACAGGCCATTTATAGATCCTTTAACAAGAGAAAGGAACCCTAACTGAATTCTAGGGTCTTATAGTTGATAAAGTCACAACTGATTTTAATTCATGACACACAGGTGCCAATGCCTAAAAGAGGTGATTCAGACTTTCAATCCAGAGCTGGTCCTGGACCACCTACTTCAGTAATTCAATACTTCTCTAACTCTGTTACGATGAAAATTGGACGCCAACATAATTTAAAAGAGCCTAGTTCTCCACAAGTGCTAGGAGTTTGTGGTTGTAACTGTTTCTCTCTCTTCTATTTCCCCCCACGCCTGCTCATACCTGAATAGTTAGGATTCAATCCAACTGGCTATTTACCCCAAGGAAAGGATACTAAAACTTTGATTGGTTATTTCAAAGTTCCATAGGTTAATCCTCAGGTCATCAGCTGACATGTAGGTTTCATAGTCGCTGTTGACTGATATGGAGTTGATGTGATACGTGTGTGCGTTGGCGAATACTCTTCGTGGGGTGGCCTCCACCATCAGGTCCATGGGTCTCAGGACAGGCACCTGGGATGAAAGAGGAATAAATCACTTCAGAACCAAAGTTCTTTATCAGGGAAAAAGTCTGCATGTTTATGCCCTTTATCATCACAACACAAAATCACAACCACATTTAAGAAGCTTGAAGTTAAGAGAAGCAGACTGGTAAATCACATATTCCTGTTTCCTCTGTTCCTTTTAGGTTTGTTTAAAAAATTTATTTTCCCTCTATTTCTTGTAGTTTTCTTTCTTTCTCAAAAGACTTCATCACCACTTAGCCCTCATGGGCAATTTCATACTTTATAGATTCTAAGCTTTTTTCCTGGCCCCTCTAGGTGACCTCATCTTCAGAAAACTGCACTTAGAAGCTACTGATGGGTCATTAGCTTCTGGAGCTGTTGTTCCAAGCTGCTTGCTTGTTTGTTTTAAACATGAAATGTACTTTAAAAAGGAAGTTGTGGGCAAATTTTAGAAGTATGTAGTTCAACTTTGATCTAACTATATATTTCATGGCTTTGGAGGCCTAGAACCCATCCTGGCTTTCTCTCTCGATCGTTAAGGGTATTTTGTGAAAATATATAACCGCCCAAGATTCTAATAGTTCATTCTAAACTATATATAGTTTATGAGTATATACGTATGAGTATATATGGCACTTAGTGACAACTTGTTTTACCTGGGAAATCTTGGTTTATATTTCTTGTCATGGTGTACCAACCAGGTAGTGTCCACTTTCACATCAAAACTATCCTAATACGGACAATAAGCTTTATGGTCATCTAACTGATATCTAAAGGGTCCTCAGTGATTGTATGCTGAATGAGTGAATAAGGGTATGTGAGAAAATGTTTTGTTCTCCACAGGTCAAAGAATCAGGCAGTTAAATAGTTTCCTACACATGAAGGTCTTCCTGGCAAATATGAACAAGAAGATTCAGGACTTTTCTGACTCTTTTTTTCCCTTTTTTAAAATGTTTATGTATTTGTGTGTGTGTGTGTGTGTGTGTGCGCACATGTGCGTGAGAGAGTGAGAGAGAGAGAGAGAGAGAGAGAGAGAGAGAGAATCTGAAGTAGGCTCCAAGCTCTGGGCTGTAAGCACAGAGCCCATTCCAGGGCTTGAACCCATGAACTATGAGATCATGACCTGAGTCCAAGTTGGATGCCCAAGTGACTGAGCCACCCAGGCGCCCCCACCTCTCACCCCCCGACTCTCCTTTTGAATTCAAGGGCACTTCTGGACAACACCTGGGTGAACTGGTTCCTGAGAAAGTGAGAGAGAACAGCAATGCCTGACAGGGGACAGATTAAAAACAAACACAAAACACAGATGTCATCCTTTAAGAGAAAGAAGAAAATAAACAGACTGAAATTTCCTTTATAAGGAAGTCACCTCTTGCAACTGAGCTGACTTGATGACTGATTTTCTACCAGGTGGTTGATTAAGGCTTCAACTTCTGAATATGTTTCAACCCACAGGGAGGGGAAGAGGGCAGAAACAAAGCTTACGCTTTGTGAAGTATACTCACTTCAACGGTACAGCCTTTTACAAAACATCATTCTTCCAGTTCAATCTTGAAGGGAGCTTAGCTCACTTCTGGGGAGTTTTTAAATATAATAATTTAAGTAAATAAGCAATTCAGAGGACTCAGAGTCCTACACAGCTCTGGCGCTAGATACCCTGGAAGACAGAGGTGGCTTGAGATGTGGATGTCGGATGGCAGGGATCCTCTGAATACCAGAACAGGGAGGGGAAAGCAAGTCTTTGTGTGCCCTCCACACCAATTATGGATAACGGCTTTAAAGCAGAAGCTCAGGAATGGAGAGAACTGGAAGACCTTGGTTCTCATCACAGACTGACCACATACTGAAAGGCTGTGTGACCATGGGTGATTAACTTAGCCCTTCTGGGCTTTGGGTATACTATCTGAAAAACTGCTAATATCCACTGTGCCCTAGTTATCAGGAAAAGTGGCTGAGATCTGTGGAGATGACATGCTCTCTGGTTCACCTGCCCTCTCATTCCTTCAGCGACATTTACTGGGCTCCATACAACTTTCTGGGGAATCCAGCTGGTGGACCAAACCAGACACTCCCTGCCTTCATTGCGCTGGTCGAGATGGAGGAGGGAGATATGAAGTCACGTCATAATAAAATGCATTAAGTGCCCAGAAAGAGAGGGTGTGATGCAAAGGAGGATTTAACAGGTCAGGGAGCCCTGGAGAGCGGTTGCTGAAGGAGTACTGGATGGATGACTGCGAAGGATGAGAACGGGTTTACTGCACCAGGAGGAAAGAATGTTCCAGTCAGGGAAAAGAGCATGTGCAAAGGTCCTATAGAGCGGGTAAGGCAAAAATGAAGGATCGATAGGTCAATGTGGTTGAGACAGAAAGAGTGATGGGAATCATGGTAAGAAATGAATAGGGTAGGTCACAGGTAAGCTCTTACCCCCTCCCCCCAATTTTGGCTATTATCCTTAGAGAAGTAGGGAGAACTAAAAAGATTTTCAATGACTGTGGTATGATAAAATTTGATTAGTTCATTTTTGATGTACTGGGGAAAACAAGTTAGAGGACAAATGAGGTAAAAAATTGGAAAGGAAGGTGACATACCATCCAACACCAGTTAAGGGTGCATGTGAGTTAAGACTTTGTAATGGATAAACAAAGTAACTCTGCTCTTGAGAACTCTGCCTGCAAGTATTTACTGGGCATTTACTGCTCTGTGTCAATCATTCTGAGGATGTTATGTCTGGCAATTCTTTCAACCACTCTGTGAAATTGGTAGTAGCGTGAGTACTGTCACAAAGAGAAAGCTCAGGCTCAGAGAGGCTAGGTCAGTTGCCCAGGGATGCCCAGCTCTGAGCTATGAGGCATTTTCAGAATTTAATACCAGAGCCTACCTGACTGCAAACCCCAGTGCAAACCCCAGTGCTCCTTCCCAAGTATCACACCACACTCAAATACCTGCATGGCAGGAAGTGATAAATGCTCTATAAATGACATGAAAATAAGCTGCCAGAAGAATTTAAGGAATCAACACTATTACTGATAACAGTAACTGGAGTGGTACTCACAAAGTTTTGTAGTTGAGCTGCCTCTACAAACCTCATTAGGTGATGTAGGTATTCCTGGCATTTGAATAGGGGTGACTATTCTGCGTACTTTCAAAAACACATGCCATGCTTTTGTAGTCTGTCAGAAAGGAACGCCCCACCTGGAGCTTTTGAGTGCTACCTATGCTTCCTCTGCCTCCTCCACCACCCCTCTCCGCCCCCACCCCAGAGGTAGCAGAGCTCAAAGCGAGCTCCCCAGGGCCCCAGAAGAAGTGGAATTTGCAAGGACTTCCTGTGGCTCCTCCTAAACTCCCCCCTGAGCCTCCTTCATTACCGCCCGCCCCCCCCCCCCCCCCCCCCCCCCCGCATTGTAGAATTGTAGGCAGAGGCTTCCCGTGGCTGTGGTGACAGGGAAGGAGCATGACAGCCAGGATCAAGAGGCATTACAAAGTGGGAACTGCCAGTCCAGAGCGTCAGATTAACGTGACGGGCCTGCCTGCTAATTCAGGCTGACATATTCCATGATGTACCACTTAATAGGGAAGGCTCCGTGCAGGTGTCTGGGGAGGGGGCCTCTAATGCCTTACTCAGATAAGGCAGAGGGAGAATGTCATTCATGGTATGCCAGCACCATTCCCATGCCCAGGTCAAGTCCTGTCCACTGCCTAGTGATGCCCCTCAAAGGAAGGAAGATCGGGGGTGGGGGTGGGTCTGATTCAAGCTGGATGGGATGACTGATTAGGAAGCCCTGTTGGGACTGTGTTTTCCAACTGCTCTGGCTGCATATTCCCTTCAAGGTCAGGCAGGGAGAAGAATAGGATGCTGTTCTCTGAGTTGGGCCCACAGGCCCTATTCGGGCTTTCTCTGTAAGACACTGATGGAGGCTTCCGTGCTATGGGCCAGGCACTGTGTCAGAGCTCCCCTGACCCGACTCCAGGGCTCTGATTCATTCAGCCCTCCGCCTTCTCTGGGCAAAGCACTGGGGAAGATTCTTCTGCTTGCCCATTTTGCAGGAGAGAATCAAGGAGGTGGAGTATCCTGTCCAATGTCACACACAGAGTACGTTGAGGAGCTGAACCTAGGCTATTTGGTTTCTGATACAGATGAAACTATTAGAGTGAAATGTGAACTTGCCATTTTTTGCAGGTCAATAATCACCAAATCTCAGCTACTGCCTCTGGTTCAGCCTAATACCTTGGAAGGACTTTGTGCTATAGACATATGACACTGAATCATGGAACAATGAATCTTGGGAGGGCTACCATGTGTGTGTGTGCGTGTGTGTGCGTGTGTGTGATGGGGATGGGGAATTTAATGGGAAGCTGTGGTTGTCTAGGTTTTACCCTCTTCATTGCTCTTGGTAGTACATTTGGATTCTCAGTCATTTCATGCTTAAATAAATATTTCTGTGGATAAGGAAAGTTTGAAAACTACTGGCCCAGGCAGTACCTAATATTGGCAGATGAGGAAATCAAGACCCCCCAGAGGTGAGGAGCATTATCTATGGTCACCCAGCTTTCTGCCTCTTAACCCAGAGCTTCCTCTGCCCACCTACCTGCCAGCACCATACTATGTGCCTGAACCATTCTCCATAGGACCAGAGCCCCCTTCTTGCCAAACGTCAGGACCAGAACTAGACAAAACCCAGGACCAAGCCAGGACCTTTAGCTTGTAGTTCAAAGCCTCTTTTCTGATCTACGTTGGCAGTGGTTGATGAGGCTAGAATCAACTCTGAGACAAGGGCAGGTGCTGCATTGTGCTTAATGAAAAGAGAGTCTTTGGACTTCAAAGGTGGTTCTGCAGTGCACTGTGGGGTTTTGGTTATGTCCCTCCCTCAGGTGCCTCATATTCCTTCTGGTACCTTGATTAAGTTTCAGTTCATCACCCCAAGCCTGATTCCAAAGGATGAACACATTAGCCCAGTGGATAAGACAACCAGCATCGTGTTAGAAAATCAGCTGATAGCGTCTCAG